AGGGCCTTCTCCCTGGCTTGCAGATGGCCATGTTCTTGCTGCATCCTCACATGACAGAGAGAGAGAGATCAATCTTTGTTCTCTCCTTATAAGGACACTATCCCGTCACGAGGACTCCATCCTCATGATCTCATCCAAAAGTAATCACCTCCCACAGGCCCCATCTCCAAATACCATCACATTGCTCAGCCCATAGCTCTGAGCAAAGAGGCTAACGGTTTACGATGACTGGCCTTTGTCTGGCATTCTCCTTCAGCACAGCACCTGTGGGAGCAGGAATGTCATGTCTGAAACAAGGCATCCTGCACAGAAAAACCTATCTACACTTTGTTCGGGTGGGAATGAGGGAAAAGGAAAGATGGGGAGTGTTGAGACATGAGGGGGACAGACAGGCAAAAGCCAGTTCACAGAGGGTCCTGTGTTTACGAGAAAGTATGGGTTTTACCTCCTGAATGACTGGGATCATGAAAAAATAGATGCAATGATATAGTCACACACGGTTGGCTGTTTGTTAGCTTTAAGAGCTATTAAAAACGTTCACCCTAGTGATCCCACTTTGGGGAATTTATCCTAAGAAAATAATCCAAAAGATTAAGAGAGGTATGTACACAGAGATATTTATTACATTATTCACAATAATAAAAACTGGGAGAAACCCACAAAGGAATACTTGAGTAGTTAGTTAGTATGTATTTGTTGAGTGAAGCAACAAATGCTTGCTGAATATAAAGCGACAATTAAAATAGTGAAGTCCAGGTTAAGGGAATGGAAAAATCTATGAAATAAGTCAAATAAACAAAATATAAAATTAGAACTGCACAATAGTACAACTCTGTAAATACAGTGACAAAAGATAGACAAAACTGGAGTAAATACAGGTAAAGATGACAACAGACTACATGTTAGGTTGGTGTAACTGTGTCACCGACATAGCATGTCTACAAAAGATACTGCCTTTTTGCAAATAAAAACCACCCTGTCTTATAAAAGGTAATCTGGTCAGCTTGTCTGCAGTCACAGCCTCACAAAGTAGCCTTTGTTTGTAGCCAGCCTGAATAAACACTTGCTTTCAGTGACACAAGTGAATTGATGAAATATTTGGGGTCAATATAGTGGAAAGAAGTATGTGTTTTATAATGAGGCACAGAGCAATCTGGTAACCAGGGAAAGCAGGGTGGAGGAGGAAGAGGCTCTGAACTGTTAAGTGAACTATACGCTTTAGGCCAAAGCATCCATTATCTCCCATGTGCAGGAGGAGAAACAGGGCTCTCATGTATAAGTAAGCCAAAGGGAGCCTGAACAGTACGACAATGGCTGAGCACACCTGTGCTTATCCTCCCGGGAAACAAACACTGGAAAGAAAGAGAACCAGCTACTTGGCAATAGTTACATTACTGGGTTTTGCCATTATAGACTGTCAGGTAATATGTCCCCTCAAGGCAGAGCTGTAGAATTTTAGAGCTAGGAAAGGGGCAGGTGTTCAGCCAAGGCCACACAGCTGGAATACAGCACTGAAGTAGAAACACAGGCTTCAGAGTCACAGGGACCGAGTGCCCAACTCCAGAACTGCCACTTTCGGGGTTTGCCTGAATCACACCTTCCCTCAGATGACTACTCCACCACTACATGCCAAGGTCAGTCAGTATTCCCTGCACCACCTCATCGGGGTCCTCACTGCCAGCTGACCAGCAAGTGGTCCATTTCTAAAATCCCACTTTTTTATATTTAAATTTTTAAAAATTTAATTATAGTTGATTTACAATGTGTTTGTTTCCAGGTGTACAGCACAGTGATTCAGTTATACACGTATGTTTTTTCAGATTCTTTTTCATTATAGGTTATTACAAGGTATTGAATATAGTTCCCTATGCTATACAGTAGGACCTTGTTGTTTATCTGTTTTATATATAGCTGCTTGTATCTGCTAATCCCAAACTCCTAATTTATCCCTCCCCACCTTTCCCCTCTGGTAACCATTAAAATCCCATTTTAGAGTCAGCTTCCTAGGACCACTTCCAGTGCCAACTGCCTGAGACTGAGACCCCTGCGTGCAGACTCTGACACAGAGGGTTGTTATGTTGAGAGTTTGTCGGGGAGGGTTTTCAGGAGACACCTGCAAGGATGGCAAGTATGGGCAGAGGAAGCTGTAAACATGTCACAGGCAGTAAGTTGGGATGGGATACCAGTGACGTGGACATACTCCTGGTATAACATTTCTGGCACTTGAGAAGGATGAATGCTAGCTAGAAACGCTAAAATGGTAACTGGAAAGACAGTGGAATTGATGGCTGTGGCAGGGCACCACTGATCTGATGGAAAGAGAAAACAGGCTCAGGGCGAGGTAAGGAGCAGGGCTCCTATTCTGCGGGGTGAACTGTAGCAGGTACACCATGGGGCTGGAGCTGCGGTGGCTGCTTCCTGATGATGCTGGTTCCCGTCGCCCAGGACAGTGGCACTGACGCTCTAGAACCAGCAGCAACCGGGGCAGCTCGGGTCAGCAATGTGACTTGGGTTTTTTCCTGGAAGCTCATCCCAGATCTGTTTCTTCAGCTCCCACAGTGATTCTGCTTATCAATTCCAACCCAAGTCTGTCTGATTTCAAAATCCACGTTCTGTCCTCAACACCATATGGTGACTTGGAGGACTGAGCTTTCATTACCTAAATGAACTAAATCAAGGAAAGGACACGTAGTTGGAGGGAGCTGGAGGGAGAAGTGTATTTAGTTTTAGGCACAAGGTTCTAGTAAGACAGCTGATGAGACCATCGAGTGGAAATCTGAGGGTGAATGACTGGCTCCCATCAGAGAACCTGGGACTAAAAATGTAGATTTTGAGTTCCCTCCTAAAAATGATGGTTGAAAGCATGGTCCTGGGTCCGACTGCCTAGGAAGAGTATATATAGGAAGGGAAGAAGTCTGAGAAGAGGACTGTAGTTCAGGAAAAAGATGCAGGAAAGAAAAAAAAAAGGCAGCCATTTGGGAATAAAATTCCTGGGTTCAAGTCCTTGCTCTACATCATGCTAGCTGTGTGATGTTGAGCAAGTTACTTAACCTCTCTGTGCTTGGTTTAGGAGTGAGCTCTAAGCATCTCGCTCTCCTGGCTCCAATCTTTGGTTCTGTTTGGAGAAGAGCAGAAAAGTTGCTTGTCATCCCCAGGCTCATTGTCTCATGTTTGTAAATGGCTTTTCACAGCTCTCACATAATCATGTTCAAGATAGGAAGAAAGGAACGAGACTCAGTGGAAAAGAGGCTCCTAACTTGGAGGCAACTGTTCTCCAGATACTCTTTAGCAAATGTGTTCTCAAGTCTCACTGGTCAGGACTGGGTTACCTGGTTTGTCACCCTCAGTTGCATGGGAGGCTAGAAACAGGCCAAGTTTATTACTATCTTAGACCTTTTTCTTACTAGTCTCTCTCCTTAAAGAGTTCTTCCTCCTGACTTTGGAATGGTTTGCTCCCTTGTTTCACATAGATCTCTGCCCGTATCTTATGTTTGCCTTCCCTAACCTTCTCCATCACTCTCCACATCCTTACTCCGACTTACTATTTTTCTTTATGGTGATCATTGATTAATTGCTTGATTGACACATTTATTTATTTAGCTACTTGAACATACATTTACTAGGATGAAAGCTCCACACGTGTCGGGATTTTTGCGATACTCACTACGGCATCCTTGTGTCTAGAACAGTGCTTGGAACACAGAAGCTGCCTCTATGAACATTTGTTCAATGAATACATAAATGGGTGGACGAAAAGACCTCTTCAACAGCCGTAGGGGCCATGTGAGCCCTATGAGGTAGTAGCCCTTTTCTGACTGAGGAAACAGTGTCCTGGGAACGTCCAGTGGCCTGTCTAAGCTTTATAGCTAGCTAATCACCCTGTCTGTTTCTAGGATTTCCCGTCTGTCTGCATCTATTAAACCACACCTAGTCTAAGAGGTAGGAAATTGGGCTTCCTGCCCTGGCTCTGTGGAGAATCTTCTGTATGACCTTGGGCGAATTAGAAAACCTGAATTTTCTATGGCTTGTTATTCAAATCATGTGAATAAAGGCAAGGGGGTGTCTGAAATCTCCAAGGTCCTCACCAGCTTTACCTTTATTTAAATACCAAACAATTCCCACTTACAGGGTAATCACTGTGGTCATATTTGCTTCCTGCCTTGGAACAAAGACTGCAGGAGAGAGTAACCAAGATGCAGATGTGTAGCCCAGCGGCCTCACACTGACCAGCTAAGTCCCCGTCAGCCTCAGTTTCTCTCCCTGGCAGAGCACCCGGCCACTCCTGGACTTGCTGGGCAGCTACCGCCCCCACCTTACTAGTTCTCTCATCATGGGCAAAACATGTGGCTTCTCTAAGCTTCAAACGCTTTCTGTGAAGATTAAGTGGGATAAGTGCCAGCACCTGGACATAAGACATAAGACAGAGCTGAAATTGCTTGTTGCTTGGCAATTGTTACAACGAATACTGGCAACACACAGGCCAACTGGCCATGATGGCTTTAGCTTCGATGACCGCTGTGTGTAGCTCCTATATTAGAAATACTGCTTAACCATGGAGATAGAATAAACAAAGGATCCATGTATTTTTTTCCGGAAAATAAATCATTTAAATGTGCAAACTTACACAGATCATTGAAGGCAGTTAAGAGTACAGCCTTGAATGTGGCTAATAAAATCAGCATAGCTTTTGCCTGGCCAGGGCAAGGGAAAAGATCAAGTGGATGCTTGCAGACATACTTGCAGACATACCATGTTGGATGCTTGCAGACATACTATCCCCTATAATGCTTGGTGAATATCGCTGAGACAATGAACCCTGTCCTCTGTGGGCCACCATCCAAATTTATCTGATGCACATTCTTTATTTGTATTTTTAAAAAGCCTATTGCTTTGTATGCATTTAAATGAATAGTATTGTGTTATACATCTCATTCTGCTTTTACTTTTTATCACTAAGTACTATGCTTATGACGAGTCCACGTTCCAGGATGGATGCCTACCTGTTGCTTCCAGTGCCGCGTAGTACTGCAGTGTCCACCCACATCTCACTCATCCGGAACGATGCCTCTTGTGAAGGGGATGTGGAAACCCATGGGCACTGCTGGTGGGAAGGAAAATAAGCTGGTATGGCCACTCTGGAAAACCATCTGGCACAATGCTTGGTCACATTCCAGTCATACATCCTATGATGTGGGTAGATACCACGGAGAAATCTGTTCATTGCGGTCCTGTTTTTGAAATCCAAGAGCTGGAGATGGGCAGCTGGGTGCCGGCAACTGGTATGCAGCTCATGAGGGACAACTGTTGAACTGTTAGGAATTTGGTGACTGGTTTCTACATTCAGCCGTTACTAAAAATCAAACTACATTACATTACATATATATGGTATCTAAATATATATATTAAAACCAAAAGTAATAATTAATTAAAACTCATCACTTCCTAATTTTTTCACTATATTTTACCGTCATCTCAGCCCTAGAGGTCACTGCATCTACTATGGTGGAAACATTTAATGGTGCACTCCACTGTGTATCTGTTTCCCATTCTGTGTTCAGGGCCATCACACTGGCAGCCTGAAACAGGCCATGGTGGGAAGTTACACCATGAAAATCAGCAAACACTACAAATCATTGTTTTTTTCTCCCTGAGATCCAATTGTTAAACATTTACCAGCTCACTGGAGACTGTGGTGTTCTCTCTCCTTTACAGACGAGGAAAATGAGGCTCAGCCAGGTTATGACACTTGCCCCAAATCATACGACTTTTGAGCAGGAGAAACTGGATTCAGACCCAGGTCTGTCACAGACCTTGTACTCTGATGAAAACGAGGAGTTATACCATTCAGACTATAAAACTTACCTCACAACCACCAGTACACTTTTTTGTTTTGTTTTGTTTTTGAAATCTAATGGCTGCCAGCACCTGGATGCAGTGTGAAATCAAGAAAAGCAGAGTTTTTAGAAACACCTGCTTACCAAGTGAGCGTCATTAACTGCTCACAGGAGAGCGCTGTCTTGAGACGCAGGTGCTGCTGCTCACAGCTCACGTGGGAAACAGACGCCCTGTGCTGCAGCTCCGTGCTGTGAGGCTGCGGGAACCAATCATTCCACACGACAGCTAAGCTATTTTAGCTACTGTTTAACTTTACAATATTTGTTAAGTAATACGATCTGCACACCGGAGACCTTGACCCTGGCTGTGCAGTGTGAGTTTACATACATGGAAGTCACTTCCTAAATTTTCCTTGGAGAGTGACCTGAAATTGAGCCACCTTTTGTTCTCATGCTCTTTCCTCCCTCATTCAGTCATTCAGCTAGCCCTCAGTGAATATTTATAAAGTCCCTATTACGTACAAGTCAATAAAACATGTCCCCGACTTTCAGAAGCTAACAGTCCAGGATTAGAACGTACATTTTATACGTGGGTCTCTGATTAAGGCCCACAGCAAAGGCATATACATCAAGTCTAGGGGAACGTCTTCGTCTGTCCGGGTTGCTATAACAAAATACCAGACTGGGTGCCACAGACTGCTTACACACAACAGAAATGTGTTTCTCACAGTTCCGCAGGTTGGGAAGTCTAAGATCAAGGTGCCGGTATAGCTGGGTTCTGGTGAAGGCCCTCTTCCTGGTGGCTGACTGCAGACTTCTCAGTATGTCTTCACGTGGTGGGAGGGACAAGCAAGCTCTCTGGGCCTCTTTTATAAGGCACAAATCCCATTTATGAGGGCCCTGCTCTCATGACCCGATCACCTCCCAAAGTCCCCTTCTATTACTATCACCTTAGGGTTAGGATTTCAACATATGAATTGGTGGGGGAGGCACAAACATTCAGACCACAGCATAGGATAACTTAATTTTCATAGTATAAACTGAAACTAAGGACAGTATTGTGTCTCTGTGGCCATGGAAATGGTAACTTGGGCCTGGTACCAAAGAAATGAGTGTAGAAACACCTAGCTTGAGTGATTACTCTGGCAGAGATTATACTACATGTTCATGAATTAAGCAAGGGAAGGCATATGATGCATAGAATATCAGAAGACACTAGTTCAAGTCCTGACTCTGTTGCTTCCTTACTATGTGACCTTGAAATAAGTAGAAACTTCTCCTATCTGGGACTCAAACTCCTCTCACATACGGGTTAAGTGAAGGCTGGGTTGTTATAACAAAGGTACAGAATCTTTAAGGAAATGGGTATTTATTTCTCTCTCCAGTAATAGTCTGCCAATCCAGCTGCAGGGTAACTCTGCTCCTTGAGGTCATTCAGAGACGTAGGTGAATTCCTGTGTGATACATTGTGGTGTCGTGGCTAAAGACATAGCTTCTGCAACCAGACCGCCTGGGTTTGAATCCCAGCTCTGGTGCTTAACCCACTGGGGGATGTGCCTTAGTTCCTTCACCTGCTAAATGGCTATATCTACCTCATAGGACTCTTGGAAGATTAAATGGCTTAACGTACAAAATGAGTGACGGCAGTTATTACGGAAGTGGCAGAAGAGCCCCGAAATGTTTGCGTTTATCATCCGAAGTTTCTGCTTTTCCCCCGGTATCAGTTGACAGTTCCTCACCATCTGTTTAGTTCTCTTTAAGAATTTATTTTGGTGCAGGTTTTTTGTTGTTTTCCTGGGAAGACTGGTATAAATGGTTGAGTCTTCCAATACCAGAAGGAGAAAATTCCTCTTATTATTATTTCCTCCCAGAGCCCCTAATGGTTAAAATTATTTGATAGAATAAAGAACTGTTGTCTATTCTATCCTAATAATACATCAAAGTATGCATCTTCAATATTGAGAGGTACAAAGAGAAGAGACGGGAGATTTTAGACTTACCTTGCTTTACCCTCTTTATCATCAAAATAGCAGAAGCTGTAACTTGAATAAAGCATTATGATTAAAACATATTTTCCAACATTTGTTCCGAATTCCAATGTTCCAAATATTCAGCAAATATTTTCCAATAAAAATGGCAATCTTTAAACCAACCCCTGGTCTTTATTAACACTACCTACCCACCTTCTTGGCTGTGGATAGATCACACTTCTGGATCTTATTTATTATACACATTTCCAGCTCTTTTTTAAATTGCTACCCCTGAGTCTACTTACATACAAACACAAGTTCCTCTGTCCACATATCATCTGACTTAACATGCTCACCAACGTTGTGTGGCATTACAATGCTCATTTTATAGATATGGAAAAGGAGGTCCAAAGCAGCAGGCTGCTCTAACACCAGCTCCTGTGATTTAAATCCAGTGTTTCCCATTCTGTCATTAGCTGTTCACTTTGGGCAAACCATGTCAAGGCCATCCCTCCTCTTCATTTTCTTAAAGTAAAACGTAAAGGTGAGATAACACAACCGCTACAGCCCCCTCTCCCGACACCTTCTGGAGAAGACTTGGGCTTCCTGAGCTGATGGACTTCGGCAGCAGTGATGTAAAAAGTCACAGGGCGAAAAGTGGGCTGGAAACTCTCTTTTTGTGGGTGGAATAATCTAAGCCTCCTCTTTGCTCTGCTGAGGACCACCTTCCTATTATTTGGAAGAAAGAAGGATGATTTAATCATTGCGCATGTTCCACTACGCCCATTTGGAGAATCGTTTTGACGTTTCTTGACGGAGAATGGCATCTGCACACCCAGATAATTACAGCAGGCTACGGGAGATTTGTGAGTGAGGCCAAGTATGAAGCTCGTAAATTCCACAACTTGGAAGGATAAGCTTTTTGCAGGATAAGAGAAGAAACAAATGCAGCTCTGGAGAGTGACGTCCTCGTCACCCTTATAGAAAACACACGTTCTCACTTGAGAAGGTAGTGGAAAGAGTATCCGGAAGAGGAGTTCTGAACTGAGTTAAAAGTCCTATGCTATTCATTAGCTATGTGATTTTAAGTCACAAATCTATTTGGATTTTAATTTTCTCCATTGTAAAATGAGGGTGAAGTGAGATGTTGCAGATTCTTTGTAAACTCTTGAATTACTATTGAAATGTAAATTATCATCTTTTTATAGCATCAGTCTGTGCCCTGAATAGATCAGTGACGGGGGAGCCAGGGCTGCGGGGTGCTCATTCTGTCCAAAGGAAGGAAAGAAAGAGCTGGAGAAAGGAAATTAACATCCTAGGGCCCTTCTTCTGCTTCCTGTAATATACTTACATCTGATGACAAGGTTTCTGACTGCGTGGTCATTGGAACATAGTAAAACAATGGGGAAAAAAAATGGAGATTTAAGCCAGATGGACCTGGCCCCACCCCTATCTGTGCCACATGCTGTGTGAGTGGGAAAACTGCCTGTCCTCTCTCTCCAAGACTGTCTCGGTATCTATAAAATGAGGAGAGCCTTTTAGGGTAACTGTGAAGATTTCCTGAGACACCTCATGAAAAAGCGCCTAATGGTCTTTTGGACATTGTAGACAGTCAATAAATGCAACTTCCCGTCTCTCTTTCACAGAGGGGAATTGCTGCATGTATGACTTTAATGTTGTTAACCTTTTATTGAGAGTTCACTGAGACCCATCGATGGAATCATATATGGAAGGGGAAAACATAAGTAGAAAATCTCCATAGAACTTCTTCTCTGTGATAATTGTCTGGAGAAATAATGTGCCAATTAGGCTAAAAGGAAAGGGAAGCTTAAATATCATCTGAATGACTTTGAAAACTGTGCTGTACAGTAAAATAATATATATTAAGTAACACAACTTCCAATTCGTTGCATTGCACGTTTCATTGACTCGCATTGTCTTGCAGCACTCAAATGTAAAACACTTTTCCTTTCAAGGATACGGTTTGCTGTTTAAAAGGAAAAAAAAAAAAGCAGCAAGCAAAATGATGTATCACTGGCCTTCTTCCTGCCAGCTTTCAAATTACCCCCATTTAACCCCAGAAGAACTCAAAGAGCAGTACCCCTTAGCTGAGTTTCAGCTTAAATGTTTCTATAGCTTCCTCGCTGAACTGATTCATAAGCCTTTTAAAAATTAATTATTAAAACCATTTCCATTAGTCTTTTGCTTGGCCTTTATGCAATCACTTTCATTTGCTGTTTAACAAGTGACAAACTACCAGCATTAGCTATAAATACACGGCACTAGATATGGGGAGAAGGCATGACTCATGCTGGACTGTTCCCTCGGGCTAACTAACCCAGTGATGACTTTTCTGGGAAGTGGTGTCAGGTTCACTCTTAACCTACAGGCAATATGAAGAGAATTCTCTTTTTTTTTTTGTCAGTTCCTTCTACTCCTCTTCTTGGTTCAAGGTATTGAGACACTTTGTTCACCTGGTCTGTTGGTAAATTCCTTCTGCTGTCTGTCCATCCTTCTGTATGTCCATCCATCCATCTAGTAAACATTGTTGATTACCAACCATGTAATTAAATAAGAATGTTTTCCTGCCCTCAAAAAGAACACATCTGCAACTTGGGAGAACTGGACAAATAAATTAACCATTATAGTGTACTAAGTTCTGTGGTCTGGATGCCCAGACAAGGGTAGCAGGGATGGTATCTAGGAAAAGATCATATCAAGGACAATTAAATGCCATCACAGTAAAGATTCAGGAGGGTGGGGGAGCATTCCCAACAGAAAAGCAGCATATGCAAAGGCACAGGATGACAAAACAGAAGGACCGTCTGGAGAACCAAAAGTGGTGAAGAATGGCTGGACTGGAGAGTTGGCTGAGGCTAGTGGCCATAGAGGGGGACAGTCAGGAAGGTGGGCTCACTTTAGCAGCTGTCTAGTTGTGCCCTTCCCACACTAAGAGGGCAGCTGGGGAAGCAGCTTAGCAGGTGAGTTCACACACATGTGCCTTATGTTTGAACTTTGGTGAAAGTTTCTTTTAGATCATCAAAAACCTGTGTACTGCTTTAACAATACAAGAAGTGAAGTCTGACAAAACTGGCTGGTGGAATATGGGTTAAAGTGTTCAAAGCACTGCTGGACAGGTAAATGCAGTGCGGGATACACTGAAGGTGCAGGGATCCGCTCCTTTGGTAGCTCACATCCCCTCCTGATGCTGGTAACCAGCAGAAAACACACAGGGCGGGGGAAGTTACCATCAACACTTTTATTAAAAACATGAAGAATGAGCAGTTACAACACTCACAGTGCCTTAGTTCCAGAATGAGGTTTCCCTTGGCTCCGGTGACCACTTTCATTTGGAAAGTTGGGCTACCAGGACATGACTTAGTTCTCTTTAAAAATCACTGCCGAAAGAAATGAAAAATACACAGATACCTATTTTATAAGCCTTTTAAAGTTAGGGGAAAAGCCTTTAAAACCGTATTAGAGCACATGTTACAATAACTCCTTATTATCACTTCTGCAATATTAATGATGCCAGTGCTGTTGGAACATGAAACTTATCATCTATGTCAAACTTTATCTTTTTCAAAGGATTCTTGTATTGATTATTTTACACCTACAACACAAAAGGTAGGACAAATGTGACTGAGGCTCAAGAAACTCACATGTATAAATGCATATAATCAGTGAATTGTGTTAAGGGAAAAGGAATGGTATCCAGGTCTCCTGGATTCTTACCCCAGTGTTTCGGAATCCCAGCAACCTCTGTCCACCCCACCTCAGTAGCTACTTTATAAAGGCTTTTTATTTTTTTAAAGGTACATACTTCCTGTTGTAAGTCCTGGGGATGTGTGCACAGCATACTGACTACAGTCAACACTGCTATGCAGTATACTTGAAAGTTGCTAAGATTGTAGATCCTAAAAGTTCTCATCACAAGGAAAAAACATTTTTTAAATCTATATATGATGGATGTTAACTAAACTTATTGTGGCTATCATTTCCCAGTATCTGTAATTATTTGTCATTATGCTGCATGTCTTAAACTTACACAGTGCCATATGTCACTTATACCTTAATAAAGACGGAAGAAAAAATAAATTTTAAGGGGGAGGGAACAGCTCAAGTGGGAGAGTGCATGCTTAGCACGTACGAGGTCCTGGGTTCAATCCCCGGTACCTCCATTTAAAAAAAAAAGAAAGAAAGAA